TAATCCCCGAAATCTTGATATGAGCCCTTCAATGCAGAACTTCCGAGGCTCCAGACGCGCCTCGCGCTTCGTGAGGAAGCGGTGCGCCGGGCAGGGGTGGGCCTGTAGATGACAAGGGAAAGGTTTTCGGGGTCTGCCGTGTGATGTAATGTAGAGGTGTCTGTTGCAGTCGCAGCTAGACAAGTTAAAGACGTTCCTGGAATCAAAGTTCCCGTATAACCAGACCCGGGGCAGAATCACTATCCTTGTCATTGCAAGAAAAATCACATCGTTTCCTCATGGAGAGGCAGCCCGAGAGCCCTGCAGCTACTGTTCAAAGAGGTTTCGTCTGGAAGTCAGATCAGCAGCTGTCTTGGGGGGTAGGGTTCAGAGTTGAAAACGCAGAGACACACGAATTGTGGCAATGATCGTAGCTGCGATGCTCTATTTGTTCAGCATCTAGCTAAGCTAATCCAGTGGTGTCAGCCGTTCTGACCAGTTCGACGGTGCGAACAGCGACCATGCTGATTTGTAGCGTGTCTTCATTAACCCAAGAGACAGCATCCTCAATGTCAGCCAGGTCTTGGTGAAAGCACGTCTCCCGAAGTGGGTTTCCACGTCACACTCGGCAACAACAAAGGTCTCTGCAGGTCAGCTCAGCTTGCGAAAGCTGCTGGCGGAAACAACTCGTCAATGTTTGAATGCAGAACAGCAAGCTTTTGAGGAAATCCGAGCATCATTGATGCAAACGTGGATTGGGTAATATTCCAGCATTTCCCGAAGGTACATAATACACAATTTGTATTAGGCAGTTGCTGGCAGGCTCTTATAAGACATTATACGTTCCCAGAACGAAGCATTGACTTGTTGCCGGCTGCCAGGCCAGCAGCACAAACGAGACGCAGTCGGAGGAGCGGGGGCTCGTTTTCACATCGGCACTCATATCTAATGCCCAGTATCCAGTGGCAGCATCTTCATGATCGACCTTGTGTATATGAACTATGTAGTTCTGTAGACTGCTGATTAATGACTCCCAGACAACAGATAAAAGGATAACTGATATTGGATAGTAGACAACAGATAGTAACAGATAGTAGGTTCAGAGAGTAGATAACAGACAATCTGCCACACAAAACATGTAAGGCATTATGATATAAGAGACAATATATGCCCAAAAACTGCAATATATATATATATATATATCACATGTAGTATCTCAGACGTAAGATATAAGATACAAGGGACAGGACATATGACATAAGATATACACACATCTGTATATATATATTTATATATATACATACATTATATATGTATATATACACATACATACATATGTATGTAATCTGTTTGCTATGTACAGATATTTTGTATTCACATACAGCCACACACACTTTGTATTTGTGGATATAACAGTACATGGCTATTTGTATGACATAGAGTATCCGATTACAGCACGATGTGTTTTCGTATTATCCGAGAACTCAAGACAGGATTCTCAAAGCCTCTCAGAGCAGACACGTCATGAAGTTGCCATGGTTTGTGGGCATACAGACCGTTTGCCTTACTCCCTAAACAATCTACATATGTGTACGTAGATGCATACATCGACATACATTAGGTGATGGATGGATAGATAGACAGATAGAATAGTATCTCATGTAAGCCTCCAGACCTGGAAGCCGCACTCCCAACCGCTGCCTGCAAATTCCTGTTGCAGCTCCGTCGTCGGAGGAGGAAGTCGACTTGACGCAGGTGGCATGCCTGAACCACGAGCTACGAGAGCGCCCTGCTCGTCTAAGGATGTTCGGGTGAACTTCTTTGATCCTCGTATATCCTTGTGCCTTCACCTGCCGTAAATGTCGCTCTGCGCTGGTCAGGCTGAGGACCGACCTCCCTGAGCTAGTGCTACTGCTGGCCCACCTGGGTTTCATGGTGGGTTGGGCTGTGGCCTGCATGTCGATGATACGGGGACGCAACTGAACAGCCACAATGCTGGGTGTCAAAGGCCAGAGCTCACCGAATTTTCCGTAGGCTGTGGGCTTTCCGAAGCCTGCTAGATGAATGTCTTTGACATCGCTTTCCCACCCTGTGGCAAGAAAAGGCTTGCTAAGTGCACTCGTGGAGAATTGGAGTGGATGCGCGCGGGCAGCGGATGCTCCCTGTGTGTGCAAAGTGTGCCTGCCACATCCATACTCGGTCTGGGGTTTTGCTCGAGACTCAGGCGAAACCCCTTGCCTGCTTAAGGTCATCATGGAAGCAACGCTGCAACAGTCCATGCCAAGGGTTATGAGATCTGAATTGTGAATCTCATGGCAATAGCAAAGTCTTCTCTCTGAAATTCTGTCGTGGTGGTCTTACACGAGGCTGAACGGCAGAAACCGAAACCGAAGCCGAAACGCCAAGCTGCGATTCCTGCGGCAGGACGAGCCAAGGACTCTCAACCCAAATACCATTGGAGCCTTTAGAGCCTATGTAAACGCGTCGGTCTTGCCCATGGGGCACAGACAATGGGATGCCGTCTGGCTGCGAGCTGAGACAAACATCACGACTGTCATCCTCCGAATCTGTGCGCCTGTGAACATGCACATGAACGAAGCACAGAGTCTGAAGTCGAGATTCCCACAAATTCTGCTACCAGACTTCCCATCTTTGCTTCGTGTCTAGGTTGTCCCGGGCCACAGCGTGATGCTCTGGGCACAGGCTTCTGGGATGTGAAGTAGCGATGGACGATGAACAAGCTCGTCGGATCGGCGAGACGAATTCGATTCACGCCTGCTCCGTTCTCTTCGACAACTGGCAACTAGAAATCTTGGGCACATTTTAGGGCTTAGGGCTCCGGGGCGACGAGGCGATGGTTAGTTTTCGGCCAGGCCCTGGCGCTGTGCGCACTGTGCTCCTCTCTGCACGTGGGGCTTGCGCAGCAGGCTGAGGTTCATCGGGGAAATCTCGCAGCGTGTGGGGGTTACGATAGCACGACGACGGGCATGCAATTCGTGTCAGCGTAAGCCCCCCTCTCCCAACCTCTGCAGCTCGTCCAGAAACAGGACGATGCCTTGCGCGTGCACTTCACGGAGCAAGCGCTCGTGCGTGAGGTCCGCAGCCAGGCGAGCATCGCAAGGGGATGCAGTATAGGAGCTCGAAGTCTGCACTCCATTCTGCTGCCTGGGCTTTTTTGCAGGCGAGACAAGTGGCCGAAGGCTCCAGCTTTTCGAACCTTTCAGGCGCGATCGGCCACGTGTCTGACTTCACAGATGATTCTTACTAACTGCAGTCAGAAGTCATAAGAAAACTCGCAACAGCAGGAGATAAGGATCATGATGGTTCTGTCGATGCTGACGAGTGTAAGACCTGGGAGGATGAAGCCTTGAGCCTTTGTTGAGTTGTCTCGAAGCATCAAGCACCTGTGCTCCATTCTGCTAGGACCGCTGTCCGTCCTTCGGCTCTTGGAGTCCCAGCTGGCTGACTTAAAGGCGGCTCGGCAGTTTCTCTATGCATTTGAGGCTCTGCACACGACTCAAAGTTGCCGAAGCAGCCAGAAGTTGCCGGCGCGCGCCAGCGGTGTCGAGACTCTCTGTTGTCGCAAGGGTCGAGACACCATCGTGGAGCCCAATGCCACGCAAAACCTCACCGAGATTCGAGTTGAGGCCGCGATGCCTTTATCGACAGCCGGAGGTGTTTGGTTCGCTCTCATGGATATCTTTTCATCTGTTGCTCATGCGACTGCCGCTGTTCTTCTGAGTTTCCAATGGAGGTACTTATCCGTCACCGGGCACCAACAGTACTCACCATCTCGAGGCTGTTCACCTCGAGTGCACTGCCGACCACTTGCTGGCGGATCTGTCCAAGGTCGCCGAATCCGTTTGCTTTTCTGATTCTCGGTATGATTCTCGTAGTGATTTTGATTCTGGGTTGTAGTTGCTGTCGCGTGTGATAGCGTGTGAGACAGCGGAGATCTTCCTAAACTATCGTGCTTGGCTTCCACTTGCCGTGGCCCATCCATTCAGCATTGCCACATCTCGGTGAGGTACCCATGCGGCCAAACAGAAGAAGCCATCGCAACAAGGGAAATTGACATGTCGAGAACTTGTATTCATTTCTTTTCATTTTCTTAGATCTGGACGAAAACTTCTACTAGAGTTTCTCTCTTTTCGTTATGATGATGGTCATCATTGCCCATTGCCTACAGTGGTACAGGTGCTCGAAGCTTCCGAGCAGCTTGCACTGGCAAGGAACAGGACCACGGTTGAGGCTTTTACTGGCTTTGTCTGGCTTCACTGCTGTTTGGGGCCGGGACCCGGGTTCGGTGGTTTGAGGTTGGCGGATGGCTTGCCAGGAAGTTCTTGTAACGTGCTTAGGCTGTCGAAATCTGGATCCCTGAAGTCGGAGCTTCAAATTTACTCCCCCCAAATTCTACCGATTTGAAAAGGCCTGTGCCTATAACAAACATCAACGCCGCTTAGCGACAGGACCATAGCATTGGAGGATGCAGTGAGGCCGGGTTGGGAGTGTCTGTGATGGCCATGAGATCATGAGATGGCAGTTTGTCACGAGTCACAGTTGCGAGAACGACTCCTGCAGAGTCTGATGGCCATTCCGCGAAGGCAGTCCAGAAACGAGAGCAGGGCACGTGCAGGGAGTCGGCCTCTGAGTCAGCTCTGAGAACTTTTTGATTGGGCCGGAAGCCTCAAAAGTAACAAGCATCCAACCTGGTGGATTTCGCGCTAGCGATTTCTGGAGGTGGAGCTCACAGCTGTGGCGAACGTCACCGCCTGCGCCGGCGCTTGAAACAACTGCGCGAGGAGGAGGGACCCGAAAGCCAAGGGACCCGAAAGCCAAGCGACCGCACAGGGAAAGGGTATAGGTCCTAGTCCCAGTGCAAGTTCGTAGAAGGGGAACAGCGCAGATTACGATTGTTGGGATGCAGGCCTAGTGTTGCGCTACATTCACATCAATAGCCAAATACTTGTGCTGCGCACAGACTGAAATCTGTGCCAGCTCGGTCAAACGAGGCTCGCAGCATGGCCGCGGAGAAAGAAGACATGGAAAGGCAGGGGCTCAGACATGAACTCCTGCCGACTAGCTGCCGTGCTCAGAAGTCGTTGTGCCCCAGTTCAGCACACGCCGTGTCTCGTGTTTCGTGCGCGACATGTACCTTGATCTCGATGGACCTCCCTAGGTGTTTTGAGTAGCATGTGCGGAGCTGGATCATGCGGGAAGGGCGCGCATGACGACACTTGGATGGTTCAAGATTTGTTTCATTCTTTGAGCCTTGCGGCTTTCAATGCCTTTGTCGGATGACAACCCGTGCGATGCAGTGAGCTAGATGCAGGCTCCTCGACACGATGCACGTGCATGTCGCCAGGATCCGGGAGGCCATTCTGTCTGCGTAATACTTGAAGTCATGTACTGGCGACGCACTGTTCTAGACACATATCACAATGACGATGGCGGTCGTCATCAGAAGCCTCGTGGGTAGATGTTGCCGTGTTTTTTGGCAGCTTTGACCGTTGCTGGCAGTGTTGGTGTCGGTGATGGGCGGCTGCTGCTGCTGCTGCTGCTGCTGCTGCTGCTTTTCTTCCTTTCGTGGTTGTTGCTGCTGTCGCTGCTGTTGTCGTCCTTGTCTGTGTCGTTGGTGTTGTTGGGCCTCCTAGTGGTGTGGGCGTCGTTGGCGTCTTTCTAGCTGTTCACTTGTTGTGTCACTGTTTCTGGTAGCATCTCACGTGCAACAGGAGGAAGTGGACAACAACAGCTGAGCATGCCAGACTTTAGCCCGGGGGCACCAAAGCCTGAACTCTAAACCCTTAAGTTCCAACGTCCAGCCTGCCATGATGACAAGGCGCGCCCATCCTACCTTCTGTTGTTTTTGGTGGCGGTGGTGGAATTGTTGTGTGGTCGTGGTTGTGGTGGCAGTGGTGGTCGTGTTGTGGCTGTTGTGGCTGTTGTGGCTGTCGTGGCTGTGGTCGTGGTCGTGTTGTGGCTGTCGTGGTTGCTGTGGTTACTGCGATTGGTGTGGCTGTGGTTGTGGCTGTGGTGATTGTCGTTGTTGGTTGTGAGTGTGTTTGTTCTTGTGCTGTTGGTTGTGGCTCTTGCTGGCACCACCGGCTACCCCCCGTCGCTGTAGCGTCGCGGTCACTGTCCACGTTCGGTATACCGTTCCTCTTCATCAGCCATGCTATCATGGCTAATAATCGCTCGCATCATGATCAACGGCTGCCACCCCACAAGTCAGGAAGCCGCTCAAGGCCGGCGTGCGCTGAATGCTACGCGGGCGCTTGAGGTGGGTGGCATGACATGGCATTCAGGTTTCACCTGCCAGGGATTGAGGCTCCTTGAAAGTCAGGGTTTTCGGCTTTGTGTCAGCTGGGTGCCTGTAGCCCAACTGTACGTAAGACACCCGGAAGTTTGAAATGCTTGATAGCGGTTCCATGAAGCCTCGTGAGGGGGACCTTGCGACCGCAAAGAAACTTCCGACTTCGAATGAATCCCCGGGCTCGACAGCATGCATTGGATCCTCATCCTGACTGTTCCAGATATTTCAGTTTCCTCATCTGCAAAATCTGTTTGGTGGAAGGCTCTGGCCAGCAAGGATGTTCTGGAGAAGGCCATCTTGGGATCGGACAGACTCCGTGCAGACAAACGCCTGGGAGCTCTAGGAGCATGGCTACCAGAAGGCGTTGGAAGAGCTCACGCATCTAAACGAAGTGGTACACGCAGCCTGGATTGGATTGCGTTGGACATGCTCTGTCATCCGATCAGTAGAGACCCCCCTGCCACAAAGCAGCAAAGGCAACGAGGCGCCGGGAGCACCGGCAGTCAGACAAAAGTGAGCAGCTCATGGTCCTGTCTCGCGGCTCACGTTCGAAACTCTCTTGCTCTGCTTGCGTGCTCAGGTACCCCAAGAAACAGGCGCAGCTCGCAGCCGTGCTTCCGTGTTACTAGCAGCCTTTCTGTGTCAAGCGCGAGAAGCGATGGGCTTGCTGCTCTGGCCCTGGCAGGTCCGAGCCCAACGTCTCTGCAAGCGCATCTCGAGAAAACGTGAGAGAAGCGTCAGAGCATGTGGTTGAGACGACTCCACGATCCTCTAACGAGACAGATTCCGGTGTGGAGAAACTGATGCCAGTGCATCTCTTGCAAGCGCAGAAGTCTCAGGCTTCCTCCGGCACAAACCCTGACAGCGCTGATGAAAGCTTCCACAAGGGTCGGCAAGATGCTAGAAAGCCTCCCTGTCACAAGCGCAAAAGCTCACTGCCCGGTCATGTAGATGGCTTGCCGGCAGAACCGGATCTCGGCATTACGCCGGAAGCGAGTGCAGAGCCTTCAACCAGTCCGACAACCACCACCTCCGTCAGCACCTCGACCAGCACGACACAATCATCCACTACCCCCCAGACTTTGCCAGCATCAACACCCCGGCAAGGGGACAGCGCCGAGCCCGAAGAAGACCTTCCCAACCGGGCTGTTACTGGAAAGCCTGATCCGGCGATCGATGCTGCAGCAGAGGGCGTTCACCCGGAGGGCGCGCCTGCAAGCACACTGCCACCCACCACCAGCTTGCCAAAGCCACCGCGAATTCACGAGGCTTGGCAAGTGTTTCTGCCATGCTCAGTTGTGTGCTGCAGGTGTGCATCGTCTCTCCGTCCCTGTCTGTATCTATTCAACATCTGCAAGCACGGAGTCTGTGTGGGATGCTCTCCCGTGCTGGTTTGGTAGGAGACTTGGCCAATCCAGTACGAGGACGGCGAGTGGGGCACAGAACGAGGCCCACGAACCGACAGTGGACTTGACTAGGCCAAGGGCCTCAGCCTTTTTTGTTTCAGGCCCGCCTCTTGTGGCCTCCACCACAGGGCCGTCCTCTCCTAACTGGTACGAGGCCGGGAAGCGGAAGCCTCTACCTTCAAGACGATGTTCATGCCGGGAGCTGCAACAGCTTCATTGAACATCATACAGGCTTCAGCCTTGAGTCTAGTGCAGTGTGCAGGAATCGACCCGGGATGGTGCAACGCAGTCGTCATCGTTCACGGCTTGGTGGTTTGGTGGGTTGGTGTGTGGGGGTGGGTGGCGGAGCAAACTGAACAGTATGGTACTACGGCAGTGAGGTGGAGGCAGGTCCAACACAGCTCTCCCCCTCACCCTCGCGACATGATGTTTGGATTTGGGCCCTGTTTGAGGGATCCGGTCTGGTCGTTCATGCAGCCGTCGATGGCCCTGGTGCTGCTTATCCCTCCGTATAAAGAGCCCGAAACTCGAGACGCTGAGCCCGTGAGCCTCGGGCGCGGCCCCGGTTATCCGACCATTCCTACTGTTAGGTACGCAGTCACACATGTTCCTAAAAGTTAGCTACTTATTGATAGTAAATTCCTCTGCCAGTGATGCACAGCCCCCACAGCTTGCTGCTAATGACTACTGTCTTATACTCCTGCTCTTGCTGCGATGCTCGTGCCAGGCGAGGCTTAGTAAAAACCACGAACGTTTTTGATTTGAATGGGTTTAGCTGGCAAAGGCCATCCCTAGGATGTTTCTGCCGTTAGTTCCAGCCAGCGTATCGTTCGGAACGGGCGAGGAGGGGTAGAGAGAACGTGGGGGTTAGGAGTTTTCAACACTTCCGTCCTTATTGGGTTGTTTTTATGTCGCTTTTGATTTTTGAAACAACACGGGAAAAGCATGAAAGCAGCCCCACAATCCTGGGAGTTGTGGCCAACTGAGCAGAAGTCGACACGACGCGGCGAGGGCGATGCCTCGGGTATTCTGGATTAGGGGCCGAGCAGGATCACTAGCAGTCTATCTGCAAAGCGGTGATGCGGCTGTGACTTTACAACATCGTAGTGGGGGTCCGAACCGCGAGAACGGCGGGCCGAAATGGTCTGAATGCCAGGAGGCTGACTGGGGGGAGCTCTGGTCTCAGCAGGACGGCTCAGCAAGTTCGCAACAAGGCTTTGGGCCGCATTCTGCGTCCGTCTAAATCTCTCAGATCTCGGTAATAGGGAATCTTTTGGGTCCGCTACAGGCTTACATCGTTCAGGTCTTTTTTTTTCCATGTGTGTAGGGGGTGGCGGTCATTCCAAGTTCCGTAGCCGGTGAGTTCGACAGCGCATGCCGCGCATGCCGCGCATGCCATACCTCGTGACTGTCCAGGAGCGGCTTGCGCGGCAGCTCCCCGACCTCTACCGGCGATGGGAGCTGGCCCAAAACCACACGCGTGGCATGCCGGGTCCCCGGAAAGCGGGCTTACGAGGTGCCAAGATGCGGTCTGGATGCATAGTGCATACCACCACCACCACTACCATGTCGCTGCTCGTGATCTCCTTGTGGTGGTGGAGGTACCAGCAGCAGTTTCCTTCGCTGCTGTTGCCGCCGTTTTGCTGGATTTGGTTTGATCCTCTTCTTGTTGTTGTCGTCGCCGTTGTCCACTACATCGTCATCACGTCGGGCTATCGAGAATCCAGTTCTGCATTGGTCATGAACGGCCGGCTGAGGCTCAAGGCGTGCCTAGTAGCAGAAGACGCTGAGCGCCAGTTGCATGCAGCTGTGGAGAATCACCTGAAGGCCAGGTTTCCCGACATTCGGGCGGACCGCCCTGATAGACCGTAGCGTCTGCAGCAGCGGGAAATAGACCAGACAATCCGCTGCTGCTAGCAACAGCCACGGTAAATTGATAAGTGTGACTCGTTTAGCACAAGGTCACGATCAGGGGATGACGGGGACGAAGCTATGCATCTTAGATTTGTTTACAAGACTTGAGGTTCAAAGAGTTTCAGCTGGAGATTTTCCGAAGAGTCTGCAAGCTGCTTGCAGCAAGGCAGGGTCATCCAGGGCTTTTGGCAGGCCATACACCTGGTCTCGGTGCATTTCAACGCCACGAAGGCCTTTTGCTGCCGTTGGTTTAGGGTTCCTGTCTTGGAATCCCCGACTATCAAGACGCTGAACAGCCCGACAAAGCCTTAAACTCTTGCCTAAGAGTCGCAGCTAGGTGAAGCTGCTGAGACTCCGGGGGCGAGCCAGGATAGCTGGGAACCCAGCCGTCACAGCTGTTAGGGAATCTAACTCCTTTGTAGTGGATTGGGAGGGATTCGTTTTGCAGATGACGAGGGGAGTCATCCAGCCTGGCTGCGACACCGTCTGCAGGCCCGTGATGCACTGGAGCGGCTGTCAGGACCTCAAGACGTTGCAATACACGCAGATGTGTGTTCTGTTTTCTCTGAATGACGTTAACTGCTCGTTGGTCTGGTGAGGGTTTGGGTGTAGCTGTGCAACTGATGGCCATCACAATGCTGTTCGGGTCAAAAGGGGAGTCATGATGACCGCGCAGCCAGGACAAAAAACTATAAATTTTTTTCCATCCTAGAGCCACGCTACTGGCACCTGCATCTGCTCTTCAGGCCTCGATGCCGCTATACCGGCAACAGCAGGCCATACCCGTTTTGGGAAGAAGGGCACAAGCATCAACATCTTTCGAATCCGCAGACGGAGCAGGATGCTAATTCTGAAGCCTTGCACCGACGAAGCGCTGTCAGGCGCGAGGATGTCGAGGTGGAGGTGAAGGAGGCTTACCTCACCTTAATAACTGGACTGGCTGATAGCACAAGGACTTCGGATTTCACGCATCATGCTAGCACATAGTGCAGGAGCACTGCGCTGATAGAAGTACAGTTGTTAAAGCGCTGACATGTCAGGAGTTGCTCAAGATGCCCCAAGTGACATATCTAGCAGACGTCGAGCAATCTACTGCACATCCTTGCCTCTGCGTTTTTCTAGGCTTTCTCTACCGCTGGTCATGCACACGTATTGTGTTGTCAACCAGCTTTTTTTAACCCTGAGTGCATCGAGCGGAGACCGGAAGAGCGCGTTCCTGAATCACGCATGCCATTGCTGCACTAGCCGGCCTCTTCATGATTTGCAGGCTGCTCTGCGCCTCGAGAGTCTGCGAGGGCAGGTGAAGGCCCACCCAACTCCAAACGACCCGGTGAAGTCTGGCGTGAATCGTTTGCGAATCTGAACTCTCTGGGTTGAAAGGGTTTTTCCTGAATAGCTCTGAACGGATGACGACGATGATGACGACCACGAGGGGTGTCAATGATGATGCTGGAGATCAAGCTTGCTATGATCGTACCGATGTTGCTGTCGTTGTTTTTGTTGTTGGTGGTGACGGTACGGACGGTGATGATGACCATGACCGTGGTTAGATTCATCATAGGGACCCTTGAAAGGGTAGGGGGGAGGGCGGTAGGGGGCCTTAGTACTTATAATAAGGACTTAATAAGGCCTATTTAAGGAAGTATAGTCACCTAGCCCCCTCCCCCCTGCCCCCTTAGGGTCCCTATGAATTCAAGATATTTCAAGATGATGATGGTTATGGCTCCAATTTTATAGAAGCTATGGTGGTAGTACGCTTTTTCCACTGCAAGCATCGCTGTGGCTATCTTCGGTAATGATCGGTATGACTAGTGTTATGTCTGCGGCGGTCTGCATGCTCATGATGAACAAGACCATCAGCCTCAGGATCCACCTGTTACTCATAACTTTGGGATCATTTCTGTTGGGATCGACATGATAGTTGCTGTCACGATGATTGGCTTGGAAATGTAAAGAGGCGGTGACATGTTTGTTGTGGTTTTGTTTCCAGACCTTAAACATTGCAATGGCTGTTCCTGGTGCGGCACAATTGTCATGACTTTCATGCTAGCACTTGTTGCGGCTGTTAGGGTTGTTCAAAGAGTTTGAGGCCCTTGAACGGGCCGCGGCGCCCTCCTGGAAGCAGCTTCAGGCAAGCTGAGTGACCAACGTAGCCTGGCTGTCCTGGATACCGAGCCCTCCTACGATCTGAACTCTTTGAAGGCAGAGGGAGCCTAGGAAGCGCATGTCGGCCCGTGCAAGGCCGGGTTGGCAAAGCTCCGAACCCTTGGCGAACTTCGTCAGGGCCCAGGCAAGGCTTCGGCATTCGACATCCCAAACTCAGAAGCCCTGTCTTCTGCTGTCTGCTAGATCTTGAAGGTTCGAGGCTACAAGCCACTCCATAAGATTGAAACCCGCAGCTTTAGCCACAAGCTTGGATACCTAGACGGGTGGCTTTCACGTCAGGGTCTGCTCCTCGTGCGGTTGCCGGGGTTCTTCTTGCTTCAAGCTTCTGAATTCTTGTCTTACACGACTGAGCCCGAAGACACAAGCGGAGAAGCCGGCTCTACGTTTTGGACGCTTTTGCCATCATCCAGTGCAGTTCGGGAGGCGTAGAGCTTCTGCTCATTCAGGAATCTTGCGTGCACGCTGTCTAAATATTTGCTTCCGTCGAACGACCATCGTCTCGTGGAGGTCCTGCAAGATTTCTTTGCCTGTCAGGCTTCCCGAGTGCTGGCGACAGGAGTGCTTGATGCGCCCAGCCAAAAGAGCCAGAATACCTGGGCTCGTTGACAATCCGGGTTTACTGATTCGGGACAGTTCAGCACAGGTTTCAGGCGACCACAATCCTGCAGACAGACATACAGTCCCAAAGCACGAGCTCGATCGCAGTCGCCGTTAGCTTTGCAAAGGAGCCAGTGAACCGCTTGGCAAGTGTTCGTCGAGTTTCATGCGCTGATGCGGCTTCCTCTTGGCATTTCAGCTGCTAGCTGCAACAGCTGCAAGTGTAGGTAGCTCATGAAATCGGAGTCGGGAAACACGTGCCGAACTAGCACTTGCCTTCAGTCCAGTCTCTCCCAACCACTAGCCACGCACCAGCCCCCGCTGACCCATTTCCAAGTCAGCCACGAGCGTTTCAGCAGACGCACAGTACAAATGGAAGTTTGCTGCCATGGCCGAGTCTACTGGCCTATACCTACCGCCGAGCTCGACGGTCAAAGACCTGGCGAGGCTGAGTGCCCTCGATACCTGACACCTAGCACTTGCCTGGCACCAGTGGCGACCTGCAGGAGTGATGCCTCGTCGCGAAGCCTGAAGCGAGAAGAAGACCGCATGCCAGCAGCACTTAAAGGACCTTTCAATCATTCACGCACTCTTCTTCTCTTCTTCCGTCGGAAGCGCCACCGTCTGCAGCTGAGGGCTCCCTGCTGCCGGTGCTGTGCCGAGCTTAGCCTTGTCTGAAGGTTCGGGCAACGGGCCGCGGGTGCAAACTGAGGCGTTGCGGCGGGCCAACACGAGTCCAACTCGACGCTCGGCGGTCTCAGCGGGATTCAGAGCCTCCGAGCCCCCGAGAGCAAGAACGTAGCTTTGGATAGCTTTGGGAGTTTCAGGGAAGTCTGGGGGTTTCTGAGTTCCTATCCGTAGCCAAGGAGCAGCTCCGCCCAGTCAAAGCCAAACAGCCCGGGCCCCGAAGTGATTGTTTTCATGCGGCGACACGCAGCCATGCATGATTCTTCACGCACAGAAAAGCCATGTCGTTGGCACCAACGGATAAAAACGACGGTGTATCAAGAACCGATCTCGGCATCCACAAAGGCTCTGGTCCATGCCGCGACGACCGGGTCACTAGGCCAGGCCCCAGCGTTAAGGGAGCCCGTAGACCGACTGCTCTTCATGTTCGTATCTGGGAGGCCTTCAGGCTGCGTCTGTGGAGGCCCTTGAGTCTGGGGATGTACTGCCCTGAGTTGGTGTAGGTGTGCACCGCGCTTGTTTCAGATGCGGAAAATCTCAGAGTCCTCGTGACTGCTGAGGCGACGGGCAGCGATGCCCCGCGCGCCAGCTCCGAGTCGAAGCTCCGGAAGGTACGTGCTCTGCTAAGCCGCCAAGCAGAGGGAGGGCAGCTCGCATCCTTGAGGCTTTTTTGGAGGCTTACGATGTCGGGGGCAGGGACTGTCGGCCTTTCACCTCTTACAGCTTCGCAGTTCGAGGGCGAGAAAGCTGCAGCCGACAATGGTGATAGTGATGGTGACGACAATGATCATTATCATGTGGAGCACTGCTTACAGTAACTAATCATGCAATGCATGTGTGCATCATCATGATTCATCCTACTGGATGATACTGGATGTCTGTGCCTGTTTGACAACAGGCCGCAGCTTCTGCACGCGAGGAACTTGCAGACTTCTTCAGCGACTGGTTCGGCGCGTTGCGCCTGCATCACAAGGAGCGTCGACAACTTCTGCAAAGTTTCAGCTACGAAGCTCCCGCCACCAGGAGGAGGAGGAACTCCAGGCTGTCAGACCGCGGCCGAGAGAGGCTGGTCGAGGGTGTGCTAGCAGCTTACGTGGGCTGTTGGTCTTTGGTGCGAGCGAGAACCTCAAACGCATGTGTACTGTATCTCAGGGTTACTTACGCATGGGTCCGGTTGTTAAACGGTGTCATTGTGTTGGCTCGACCCTGCAGTTTAAAGTTTGCATTGTCTGGTTGTGGTTTTCAATCTGCAGCAGGTCGGGATCTGGTTCCTCTGATTAGTTCCTGATTCTCAGATCGCAAAGCAGATCCGAACCCCGAAAGATTGAGCATGATTGATTAAGCTCTTTTGCTTTGATACCGCTGGCCACTCAAGACCATGGGCCCAAGTTGCAAGGCGGAGCAAGCCGCAGTGCTGGGCAAGGTGCAGGATTTCGTTCTAGGGTTTCCAACGTAAGCCGAGCTTCGAATTTTCATGCCCAGGTGTTAGACTAGGTGCGTCGTTGAGGAATGTTACGTGCACTGGTAGTTTTGATGCGACCAGACTGAGAAACATCTGGACCCCATCCGTGAGGCCACGCAGCCCAAGTCCGAAGTTCGCAGGGCCAAGTTTCAAGTGGCTGCTTGGCTGCAGACACTCCGCTCTCTTGAAGCGTGAAAGCCTCGCCATGCGGAGCCCTAGCAGACCGTTGGGGAGCCAAACAGCTGACTGCTCGAGTCGAGGCCTTTGGATGCTAGGATGTTGGCAAGCGCAGGTCAAGGATCCCAGGACGGGCCGAAAGAGCATCCGAGTCTGGCCCTCAGGTATCTGATAAAGGTAAGACTGTCACGAAAGCTAGCTCTGTGGAGCTCGCGGGAGTTGCCCTTTAGCAATTCACTTGTATTAAGGCACTAGGGAAAAAACAGGGTTTGCACCTTATCAGGTGGGACGTCCAAGACTTAAGGTGGGGGGTAGGGGGGGGGGAGGGCCCCCCCCCCCTTCACCTTGTCATTGTGCGTTTTCCACTGATAAGGTGCGCTTCCCTCCCCCCCCCTCCCCCCCCTCCTTTAAGGTGGTTGTGCCTGGGATAAGGTGGAGGGGGGGGGGCCCCCCCCCTGTGCCGATACACCCACAAGGAAATGCTCCTTGTTAGGAGGTGTATGACCAGTTTATTCCCTAAGGATCAAAGGGCAGCGCCCTGCACACGGACAGTGATTGTTTTGTCTACCTACGCAAGGAGAGCTTGTCTTGTCTCAATATGGTAAAACCACTGTGAGCCAATGGGCAGCGGAATGTATATGTATGAGCATGCAGCCATTGCTGTAGGTACCTGTTAGAGCTACCCCTTTAGAGGTTTACGGAATCAAACAGACACTAATTTTCTTTTACCGGAAGCATGGCCGCACATTCACACATATACTATTATGCCCACTGTCACAGTTGCGGAGTTTGGACTCATGATAAAAACAGCATATTGTTTATGCTAGGTATAGCACTGAAGTACACTGTTGAAGTCACTCCTTTTGAACCCTTTCATGCACATTGGTCAGAGAGATCATCTGTACAAGATCAGGTCTGGTGATGTTCTTCTATCGAATTATGCAGCCCTTCACTGTGCTCTTGTTAGAGCTTTGTGAGTCACTGTTGTGAAACTCTGAGAATTTTCTTATCTCAGATTCGGATCCAGGTTTGGATCATAGGCTCGAGCATAGACGTTCGGATGTGGTTCATCCGGGTCTGAGTGATCTTCTTCGGAACTTGAAAAGATTCCGAGTAATCTGTTCTCAGCCCTGGTGAAGGCGGCGTCTGCAGTTTCATATCCATGGTTGGATGTAGTCGCCTTTGGCTCGGCCTTTGGTGCAGCTTGTGAGCTGATTGGAGTTGCCTCGGCTTTAGCCGGTTGTGGCTGCTTAGCCTTTGCCCGTTCGGCCCTTCTTCTTTCAAGCTGTCCGTCTGAGGACGCCCATGATCTTTCACTTTCATCTCCTGAGGGAGATAAGGCGTGGGCATGAAGGCTGTTCCAGTACTGTGCTGCAGAAGGAGTTAGGACTTCTTCATGGTCAGATTCTGACTGGTCTTCCTCAGAGCTTTGGTCGTCAAAAAGTGTCTCAAGGACATTTTTGAGGTTTTTATGTCTTCGCTCTATCTCTAGTGAGGAATGGACCAATTGATTGAAGACTGTTTTTGAGTCCTTCAGTGCTGTTAGAAGGATTTCCACTCTGGATAGAGTATCTTGGATGGTGTCAAGATGATCCTTTCTTTCCTCCTTGTCTCTCTGGATAGAGTTTCGCAATGATTGTGCGATTCTGAGGAGGTCGAGATATTTCTCAATAGGCATAGTTACCGTATGATTGTCATGTATGACAGTTGTTTCGTCGCTGCTCAAGTTCCTGAATAGGACTTCCACGACTGGTAGAAACTCCGTGCTCCACGGTTCCTCTTCATCATATGTTTCTACGTGCTGTTGCACGCGTTGTGTAAACTGCTCGGCTGCTTCTACCGTTGCATCGATAGAGCTGACGTGTCTTACTGCCATGTTTCGGCACATAGTGTTAATGGCCTGGCCTTGATTGGCTTCGCCAAGTGCAGCGTCTGCATGGTTGCAGAGTCCACTGTTATGGGCTTCTCTAGCTGCTTTTCGTTGAATGCGCCGATTTTGACCTCCTCTTCTGGTAGGACCTTTTGGTCTCGGAGGATCTGAAGGTACTGTTCCTTTCGCCTTTGGCGGAGGAGACTTAGGTGGAGGTGACATGTTTGCCTTGTTAGGCACTGGTGGCATTGCCTTGGGCACTGACGACGATGAGGCACTTGCGAGTGCAGATGTACCTCTGGCTCTTGCCGAGGATCCCTTAGGGATTGATGTATAGGTAATCTGCATGGCTTCTTCGGCCATTTGTGAATGCAATGCATCACTGAATAATTGCCTCATATGAGGAGTAGTACTTGCATCGTCATAGGTTTGAAACCGTTCAATGTCCCTTTCGGTGCCACGTGATCGTGTATCACCTCTTTGAAAAGGATCGTTCCTGCGAATCTCCGCAACTTGTACTGCCTGGAGGCAGGTTTTACACAGCACCTTCCTTGAAACATCTTTTGCTTGCTTGAGCTGGTAACAGCTGTCTGAAAGATGGTAGACTTCGCTTCGGGAAGTGTGCCACACAGGTCGCAAATCCGTTGTTTCTCCAGAATTGACCCTGTTGGGTCCTAAAGGTTCACGCGTCTGTGGTTCATCCTCGGGTTCGAGAAACGGTGGTGGTCGTTTCGCTGCTGCTTTTGCATTTGATTGTTGGCGGTCCATACATC